TGGCGTTGGCAAGCGGCACAAGCCCCAAGGGCATAAGCCAAGCAAACCATAGCTAGGACCGAGCTGGGATTTTCCTGCTATCCCCCTGAATGCCGTCCCGTGCGGCACTGTGAAAACCAACCAATCAATCCAGCCAGCAACAGCATAGAAAAGCACAAAGCAGGTGAGGTGAACTGAATCCAGTCCATGCATTTCAGAAGAGTGTTTCTGACAACACCCTGCTGTAGTGGGGTTAATGCAGGGAGTGGGGCAAAGAGCTAGAGTGGGGTTGGGAGAGGGCGGGGGCAAGCAGATATGGCCAGCCTCTGCCCTCTGCTTTAATCAGAGGGGACAAAGGGGACCAGCTTCATTAGTGGTGTAAGTGCATGCAATTTCCATTGACTTCAGTACAGATGTGCCCATTTATGCCAAGGCTGAATTCAGCCTTGTGTATTTTGGTCTTCTGCTTCTGAACAAACTGATGCATTGCATGCTGGTACCGGAGTCCCTGTGGCATACCACTCTGGATTAAAGAAGAGGATGCCTGCAGTCTGCACTGTTTTCTGTAAACTAAAGTTGCCATTAGGCTTCTGGAAAATTGCCAGAGCATCCTTAGGCTAGTACTTTTTCTTATTTCCAAGGAACCGACTAAGGCAATTCTGGTCTGCAAATTTGATAAAACATAAACTCTTGTGCCCCACACTTGCTCAAGTCCTCCCATCAAGGAAGCATTAGTGCAATAATTTAAAATAGCAAACTATCCAGACATGGGCTAAACGTCACTGACTGTTTACTTGAGTTTTGTAGCATCCCATGTTCATGGAGATTTTAAAGCTTCTTGGGGCAGCTTCTCATCATATGTCTGTGGTATACAGCACTTGGTTAATAGTAAATAAATAACAATAATCATTCTTTCAAAATCCTCATCCTCTGAGCCTCATCCCAACAGATATCTGTGCTCTGACACCTGCTAACTTTTAGCAATCCCCTCCCCCCACTTTAGGATGTTAGGAGGGGAGCCTTTTGCCCTATGATTCAGAGCTTGTTCCACCCTCAATCCAGGTCTGTTTATCTCACTCCACTGTTGAAAGAGCTCTCAAACTTAAAAAAAAATAATTATGTTTTCTATTATGACCTCTTGTGACTTCAGATATATTACTGGCCCCCTTATCCACAATCTCTTTTCCTCCTTTGTGTGTCAAATCCCCTGTGGCTCGCATACATATGCATTTGGTTTTATCCATTTAAAACAATTTTTGTAAAATGTAAAACCCTCTTTTGAAATTTCAGTTAGGTTTTAATTATGTTGCATTGTCTCCTGATCTTATTTGTGGTGGAGGGAGGAAGGATCTGTCCATCTGAGTTTTCATATGAGACCCATCACTGTGCTGTTGGAATGTTTAGAAATGACATGTGGATACCATGGTAATGGACAGCTTTCTAATCTCTCCAGTCTAGGCATTGCCTATTGCTATGTTTTCTGAGCACCTAGGCAGGCGGGTTAAGTAGAATGATGATGTTAATTGGCAGTGCACCTGGCTGAGAATCCAGGAAGGGACCCATTGGCCACGATCAATCTCTTACTTCACTAGGAGTGCTCATTGCTCTGTCTCGCCCTTCAGTTTTAAATTCACAATGAGATTTAATTTAATTGTTTTTGGCCCAATCCAGGCTTTTCACTCTTGCCTTAAGTCTGACTGCTCCCACTAAGATGGACACCAGGACTTCCGACTCGATGGAAATAAACAATGTACATTATACATCTTCGCACAGCCATCTCCACTCCCGTGCATCCAACATCCAGCTGCCTCATGATGTCATTTCCCTCTTCAGTGTAGGTGGAGTAGCTGAATACAGCAGTACTACAGTATTGCTCACCACCTAGGGAAAGCAGCTTCCCTGCACTATACCACCTGAAGGAAGCAGCACAGCCTGCAGCAAAATCCTAAACTGGAGTGGTTGGCTTGGGCCAGGCTTGGGAGAGGAGAGCAGCAGCACATGATGATCAGATGGATGTACAAGCTGCCCCCAGCCATCACAAAGGCAACAATGACAAAGACCTGTTTGGCGTCCAACAGTGCTGGAGGGGAAAGAGAGAGGCTGGAAAGACCAATACATTGGACAGAAAGCCAGGAAGTGAGGGTGGATGGAGCTGGGGGAAACAGAAGGGAGAGTGCCCAATAGGAGTGGTTGCTTGAGCTTTAGTCAGGGCCGGCTCCAGGCACTAGCGAAGGAAGCAGGTGCTTGGGGCGGCCAGTAGAAAGGGGCGGCACTCCGTCCATCATTGGGGTGGCACGTCCGGATCTTGGTGGCAATTTGGCGGTAAGCCCTGCAGTCCCCCTCTTCCTCTTTGGCGGCAGCTCAACCAGGCTTGTTGTTTTTTTTTCCCTTCGCTGCTTGGGGCGGCAAAAAAGCTGGAGCTGACCCTGGCTTTAGTTGGTGGGGGTTGGCGAGATTATACAATTTTGCAGAAGTGACCCAGTATCTGGTGCAGCCCTCCCCAGTTAGTAAACATAGACAGCTGTTTCAGCCATCTTCACTCTGCTTGTGGTTCTATCCACAGTTGGCTATATGGTCAACATTGTGGCCCAGCCCCATTTGGAAGCCCTTCACTAGCTCTGAAAAATGGCAACATTGCCAGCTGTGGAGGATTGTGCATCAAATACAGGACGCTTTGGCATTTGCAGTAGTTCAGAGGTGCTGAGAGTGGTTGTTACAGTAAGAAATTGAGAAAATCCTTCTTTCTCCCTTCTTACTAGTTAGCAAGGAATATGAGCAATGAATGAAACCAAATGAAAATGTACAAAAGAGACAGGGAGGCAGCAACTGGGAAAATGAAGCACATTGTACATTCAGTTTAAAAAACAAAATCACTGAACTCCCCTCTCAGGGCTAGTCCCTCTAGGCCAGGGTTAAATCGCAATGAGAAGGGAGTGGTTTGTATGGGAAAGGCTCGCATGGTTGCTTCCTGTGCTGGATTTATTCTGTGTAGAAAGCCTCAGTCCTCAGGGTTCTTAATAATCTGGCACAGCAGCACAAAGGTCACTTCGAACTAAGGAATACCCCAACATTCAAAATAGATCTTGATATTTGTCACTTCTGGCTCTTTGCACTATAAATTGAAGTGCTTGAGGAGACTTGGTGGAAGCTTCCAAAGAAGCTAGAAATGAAAACAAACTACTTAGAGCTTCTGCACTACTCTCAGTTCCCTTGGTTTCTTGCTCCCTACCTCAGTGGCAGATGAGGAAATGATTGCAGGATGCAAGTGTTGCTGAAGAAATGAATCCCCTTCTTCAGAAAATGTAGCTTTCCTGGCTCCAGTTTTTGCACTGCAAGTGAAGGGAAAGATGCCCAAGGGGAAGAGAGGAATTGGGATTTTGAATTGTTGCAGCTTGAAGATAGGAAATTCCTTTCATACCATCTCTGGTGGCACATGCAGCTGCACTGGAAGCACAAAAGTGCAGGTGATACTTATAATAGGATTAACTTCTCCCATTTCTGGGGTTTTCCACTTTTCTGAGTTCGGTATATGACACCAGCATGGCTGTTGTGATCTGAGTATTATGTGGCAATGCTGTTTCTGCACGCTCCATGTGAATTTTTTGGAGTGGGACAGTTATTATTTTATATTATTGTAGTACCCCAGACATGGACCAGGACTCCCTTGTGCTAGGTGCTGTACAAATACAGAACAAAGACAATCCCTGCCCTGACGGATTTACAGTCTAAGTCAGGGGTGGGCAAACTACAGCCTGCTGGCTGGATCTGGCCCCTCAGGGCTTTGGATCTGGCCTGCGGGATTGCCCCCCGTGGTGCCGCGGGCCCCGCTCCTCTCCAGGAAGCGGCTGGCACCACGTCCCTGCTGCCCCTGGGAGAGTGGGGGCAGAGGGTTCCGTGCACTGCTCTTGTCTGTGGGTACCTCCCCTGAAGCTCTCATTGGCTGGGAACGGGGACCGCAGCCAATGGGAGCTTTGGGTGTGGAACCCACAGGCAAGGGCAGTGCACGGAGCTCTCTGCCCCCTCCCCACTCCAAGGGCCGCAGGGACATGGTGCCAGCCGCTTCCCGGAGCAGAGCCGTGCAGTGCTAGGCCAGGGCCAGGCCCTGGCCCTGGTGCGCACCGCTGCCACCCCGGAGCTGCTCCAGGTAAGCGGCGCCAGGCTGGAGCCTGAATCCCTCCTGCACCCCGCCCCCCAACTCCCTGCCCTGAGCCCCCTGCCTGTACCCCAACCCCCTGCCACATCCTGCACCCCACCCCCCTGCCCTGAGCCCCCTGCCACACCCCATACCCCTCCTGCACCCCAACCCGCACTCTGCATCCCTCTTGCACCCCAACCCTCTGCCCTGAGCCCCCTCGTACACCCTGCACCCCTCCTCTGCCCCAACCCCTTGCCCTGAGCCCCTTCCTGCACACCTGTCAAGGTTCCTCCCCCACTCTGAACTCTAGGGTATAGATGTGGGGACCTGCATGAAAAACCTCCTAAGCTTATCTTTACCAGCTTAGGTCAAAACTTCCCCAAGGTACAAATATTCCACCCGTTGTCCTTGGACTGGCCGCTACCACCACCAAACTAATACTGGTTACTGGGGAAGAGCTGTTTGGATGTGTCCTACTCCCCAAAATAGTCCAACCCCTCTGCTCAAAGCAGGACCACACCCCAATTTTTGCCCCCAGATCGCTCAATGGCCCCCTCAAGGATTGAACTCGCACCCCTGGGTTTAGCAGCCCATTGCTCACACCACTGAGCTATCCTGCCCCTCTGATCTCCGCTGGCCCCAGCCGTGTCCCCCAACTCTTGCTCCATACAGAATTGCTGCCAGACAGCAACATCCGGCGACGTCCAACCCCACCGCCGCCGGTTCGCGGTGCGTCGGGGCCGCCTCCCGGCCCTGGAGTAGGCGCGGGAAGGCGCAGAGCCACATGCGGCTTCTCCACGGGGCCAGCGAGGTACTCTTACTGCGCGTGCGCACCCCCTACGTCAGGTTGCAGACACAGGTGGCTGCGCCAGTAGCTGCCATGCGCGGGGAAACCGTCCCTCCCGCGCATGCGCTCTGAGCCCTGGCCCGGCGGCGGGGTAGGCAGCTCTGCGCCGGCAGCTGCTCCGAGCGCCGGCCCAGCGCCGGCCCAGCGCCCCGGACGTGCCACTGGAGGGGGCCGCTCGGTCTGACATGAGGCCGTGAGCCTGCGCCGCTGCTGGCTGAGGTGAGGCCGGGGGGCGAGCTGGGGGCGGGGAGCCGGGCTGCTGGCTGGGGGCCGGGCCCTGGCGTTCCTGGGCGGGGGGGCGGGCGGCGGAGAGCGATGAGCCTCGCGGCCCCGCAGCCCCAGCTCCGGGGGCCTGCGCCTCTGCCGCCGGGAGGGACAAGGGGGTACGGGCGGGCTGGCCCAGCGGCTCAGGGAGGTAGCCAGCTCCAAGCCAGGCAGGGGGAGGCCTGTCACCGGGAGGGCGGGCGTGGAGGGGTGGGGGGGGAACTGATGTGTCCAGCGGCCTGGCAGGGCAGGCGGGAGAACACGTTCAGGGTGTGCATCGCCAGCCGGAGGCGTTCAGCCCCTTGCTCCCTTACATTTCTGACAGGTATCAGAGTACCAGCCCTGTTAGTCTGTATCCGCCAAAAGAAAAGGAGGACTTGTGGCACCTTAGAGACTAAGCTTTTGTGGGCTACAGCCCACTTCATTGGGTGCATAGAATGGAACATATAGTAAGATACACACACACACACACATACACAGATAAGTTGGAAGTTACCATACAAACTGTGAGAGGCTAATTAATTAAGATGAGCCATTATCAGCAGGAGAAAAGAACTTTTGTGGTGATAATCAAAATGGCCCATTTAGACAGTTGACAAGAAGGTGTGAGGATACTTCACATAAGGAAATAGATTCAATATGTGTAGGTTTCAGAGTAACAGCCGTGTTAGTCTGTATTCGCAAAAAGAAAAGGAGTACTTGTGGCACCTTAGAGACTAACCAATTTATTTGAGCATGAGCTTTCGTGAGCTACAGCTCACTTCATCGGATGCATACCGTGGAAACTGCAGCAGACTTTATATATACACAGAGAATATGAAACAATACCACCTCCCACCCCACTGTCCTGCTGGTAATAGCTTATCTAAAGTGATCATCAGGTGGGCCATTTCCAGCACAAATCCAGGTTTTCTCACCCTCCACCCCCCCCACACAAATTCACTCTCCTGCTGGTGCTAGCCCATCCAAAGTGACAACTCTTTACATAATCAAGTCGGCTATTTCCTGCACAAATCCAGGTTTTCTCACATCCCCCCCACCCCCATACACACACAAACTCACTCTCCTGCTGGTAATAGCTCATCCAAACTGACCACTCTCCAAGTTTAAATCCAAGTTAGACCAGAACATCTGGGGGGGGGGGGTAGGAAAAAACAAGAGGAAACAGGCTACCTTGCATAATGACTTAGCCATTCCCAGTCTCTATTTAAGCCTAAATTAATAGTATCCAATTTGCAAATGAATTCCAATTCAGCAGTTTCTTGCTGGAGTCTGGATTTGAAGTTTGTGTAATATGTGTAATGACCCAGCCACTCCCAGTCTCTATTCAAACCCAAGTTAATGGCATCTAGTTTGCATATTAATTCAAGCTTAGCAGTTTCTCGTTGAAAGCTCATGCTCAAATAAATTGGTTAGTCTCTAAGGTGCCACAAGTACTCCTTTTCTTTTTGCGAAGACAGACTAACACGGCTGTTACTCTGAAACCTGTCGTTGGAGTCTGTTTTTGAAGCTTTTCTGTTGCAAAATTGCCACCTTTAAGTCTGTTACTGAGTGGCCAGAGAGGTTGAAGTGTTCTCCTACCGGTTTTTGAATGTTATGATTCCTGATGTCAGATTTGTGTCCATTTATTCTTTTGCGTAGAGACTGTCCGGTTTAGCCAGTGTACGTGGCAGAGGGGCATTGCTGGCACGTAATGGCATATATCACATTGGTAGATGTGCAGGTGAACGAGCCCCTGATGGCGTGGCTAGTGTGATTAGGTCCTATGATGGTGTCACTTGAATAAATATGTGGACAGAGTTGGCATCGGGCTTTGTTGCAAGGATAGATTCCTGGGTTAGTGTTTTTGTTGAGTGGTGTGTGGTTGCTGGTGGGTATTTGCTTCAGGTTGGGGGGCTGTCTGTAAGCGAGGACTGGTGTGTCTCCCAAGATCTGTGAGAGTGAGGGATCATTTTTCAGGATAGGTTGTAAATCTTTGATGATGCGCTGGAGAGGTTTTAGTTGGGGGCTGAAGGTGACAGCTAGTGGCGTTCTGTTATTTTCTTTGTTGGGCCTGTCCTGTAGTAGGTGACTTTTGGGTACTCTTCTGGCTCTGTCAATCTTTTTTTTTTCCACTTCAGCAGGTGGGTATTGTAGTTTTAAGAATGCTTGATAGAGACCTTGTAGGTGTTTGTCTCTGTCTGAGGGATTGGAGCAAATGTGGTTGTATCTTAGAGCTTGGCTGTAGACAATGGATCGTGTGGTGTGCTGTATCTGTGACTGTGAGGAGAAACTGGGACTCGCATAAGGGGAGGATTCACTGTTCAGGTGCTGTGCTCCTCTGGAAACTTGTACTGAAGTAAGGCACTTGTCTAGCCATAATTCCTATTATTTTAAAGACTTTTTTCTTTTTTCTTATTACATGTGGGCGGACCCTAAACCACATCTCTTTTACCCTCTGTTGTTAATATGGGTTGAAACTGATTTTAAATCTTGTGTTGGGAGGTGCACGAGAAATCACTGAGGGGGGGAACCTATCGCCCACTTACTTTCAATTCTCCTGTTAGTGTTTCTCAGTACTGCTGAAGTGTCATTCTGCTCCCTCAACTTTTCTTCTATGGATGCATCTCTGTGTGGAGTCTTGAAGTGTGAAATGCTTTTGTGGAGAAGTTTGATTTTAACCAAGGCTTTCTGGGCTAACCAGGCTAGTGCTAGGCCTGTTCTTTGACAACTTGAGAGTGATAAGGGGTTCTAACCTAACAATTTTCTAAAATTGTAATCTGAGAATTCTCCAGAAACTCATTCCCACACTCAACTCAAGGTTCATAGTTTTTAGGAACATGGGAGGGAGATACGAAGCTGAATCAGACCAGAGGTCTGTCTAAACTAGTATCCATCTAGTAGAAACAAGTACCGCTTGCTTCAGAGGAAGATGGAAGCAACCCTGTAATGCCTAGGAAGTCTAGAGTTAGGGAAAATTCAATTAAAGGGTCTGTTCATGAATGGTTATGGGATAGCCTGTTGATAGGAGAAGCTTCTTCCTAATAATTGATATTTTATCTTTGATGCCCTGAAACAGAGAGGCTAATATTTTTTCTTAATTTTTTTCAATGGTTTCTAATGTAACTGTGTTAATTCTTATTATCCTATACATGTCTAATTCCTTTTTGAATACTTTTAAGTACTTTGCCTTTATCTGGTGGCAGTGAGTTCTAGAGATTAATTATGCAGTGTGTAAAAATGAATAAATAGTTCCTTGTCTGAGACTGAGGGAAAAAGCAGTCTTTCTCAGTGACTCAAGAGCCTGTCACAAATGTATTATATCTGTGATAAATCAGATGATTCCAGCAATGTATGGGGGAGTGAGGGAATAAGTTGACTAGAAGGCAGAAGAAACATAGAAGATCTTGGGCTATAATACTGACAGTAATACTGTGAAATTCCTGTTCTTTTCCTGGCTACAGTATGACTTCAGTCTTTTATCTGCTGAGTGTTCATCAGTAGGCTGGCAAAACTATTTAATTGAAATCAGAAAGTGAACCTAGTTTGACCTGAAGCATTAAAAGTTGACAACTTCTTAAGTGGTGTATAAAACAGCACTTACGCAGCAGAGCAAGATATCACTTCAAATTGCAAACAACCTCTGTCCCAACGTTCTCTGGTAAAAACTGTTGTTTTTGACATACTCTTCTATTTCTTCATGTTTGGTGGTGGTGGTTTGTTGTTGTTTGTATAATTTCTGTTTGGCTAACATTTGCCCATTAAATTTCTCTTTTAGTTCTCAAAAATGGCCCTCTACACTTTTCCACAAAAGGAAGAATATATGATTGTCAGCCATGCTCTAGTGGAGCAAAGCACTGATAACATGTTGCAAAAATTTGCTGCTGTGAACACTTTACAAATTGGAGCCATGATCAGTTTCCTTATTGTGAGAAGTTTTGAGTTCTAGCTATGTTGGAACCCAAAAACCAAAACACCCTATATATGTAACAAACATAGTTTGATTATGTGTCTGTCTGGAGTTGCTGTTCCTTCACCCTGAAGTTTACAAGTTGGCTTTGTTTAGTAACCAAAATTTTAAAAGCACAAAAACTAACCTACATGATCAGTCCTGGAAAACAGCTACAGTTAATGTTTTTTATATTGTGCTTTTCATCCCAAAGTATTTCACAAGGATATACACATAGCACTACTGAAGTGCCTCTTCAGTGTTGGGAGAACACCAGCTGATGCTGCACTTGGGTGGAAGAGCACATTTGCCAAGAACACCAGGGCAATCACCTACTCTTACAAAAAGTACTTTAGTATCTTTCTAGTCCACACAGGGTGGACAGGTGATGTTTATACAGGATTACTGTAGACTTTTTTTTTTTTTTACAACGCACCCTAGATTAGTGACTGCACCTTGATTGCGAGTCCTGTATGATACTCTTTATTTGCCCAAAGCTGCATGTCAATGACACTTACCCATTAATCAGAGTTGAATAAGGTTAAGTTTGGCATTGGACATTCCCCTGCTCCCTCAGTTTATATACTTAATGTAGATTTAACTGCCTTTCCTCAGTCCTTGAGCACACAATACTAGAAAACGTACATTGGGAAAACTCTGGGAGATGGACTGGGTGGGACCAATATAATGACTTTTCCTATCTATCTGATTTTATTTTTTTTTAAAGCTCAGGCCCGTTTGTTATTCTGACATGATGGTTGCTAACAGTTTGGTTGAACTATTTTATAAGGATGTTGGTCTGTGGTCCCAGTATGCTTTTGTTGGTCCCAGCAAATACCTGTTTCGTGTTGGTGCTTCCAAGTGTCATCCCTGAAATAGAGGGTAGCAAGCACCTGACATTCCAATGGAAGACATGAATATCTGAAGAATGTCAGTACAATCCTCTGAGGCAAAGGAGCCTTCCCAAAAGGGAGCTGAATATATTTCTGCCCTGCCGTTCCTGTTCTTTGTGATACCTGTGTCTCTTCTATCAAACTTAAAATTGTCCCTGTTCTTACCTTGTGCATTTGTCTCCCCATCTTTTAGAGACACGAGGTAGAAGTGGCTAGTTCCATTATGTGTGCGTCAGCCAAATATAACACCCGGGGTCCAGCCCTCATCCCAAGAATGAAGACCAAGCACCGCATCTACTACATCACACTTTTTTCCATTGTCCTGCTTGGCCTTATAGCCACAGGTATGTTCCAGTTCTGGCCACACTCCATTGAGTCATCCAGTGATTGGACAGTGGAGAAGCGCAGTGTCCATGATGTGCCTGTAGTCAAGCTTCCTGCTGAGAGCCCCATCCCAGAACGGGGAGACCTCAGCTGTAGGATGCACACCTGCTTTGATGTCTATCGCTGTGGCTTCAACCCCAAAAACAAGATCAAGGTCTATATCTATTCACTGAAGAAATATGTGGATGAGTATGGGATGCTGGTTAGCAACACTATCTCTCGGGAGTACAACGAGCTGCTGACTGCTATCTCTGACAGTGACTTCTACACAGATGATGTCAACCGGGCCTGCCTCTTTGTGCCGTCCATAGATGTGCTGAACCAGAACACGCTCCGCATCAAGGAAACTGCTCAAGCCTTGGCACAGTTATCCAGGTACCTACAGAAACCTTACTGTGTGAATCATAAAGTTAGAGCTGGAAAGGATAAGGTTAGTGATGGGAAAAGTTCTGCAGTGAGCCCTGGTTAGAGCTGAGATCAGAATTTGGGAGAGTCTGGCATCCATGTCTCAGGGAACAGCTCTCTAACTGGCTTTAATGATTTCTTCTCTTTAGGTGGGATCGAGGCACAAACCATCTGTTGTTCAACATGCTACCTGGGGGGCCACCTGACTACAACACAGCACTGGATGTTCCCAGAGATAGGTAGGCATCATGCTGCTTCTTTGAGTACATTGGAGGGCGGCGTATGTGGGATAAAATGTCTTTAAAGAGGAAGTGGGGCTCAGAACTCTTGGTAGTCCCAATGCAAATGCTACAATTCCTGAGTCTTACATAGGTGGAGTATGTCTTACCCTGTTTTGATAGGAGATGGACTGTCTAGCTTCTTTAAGTTGAGAGGACAACTGTTTGCCCATGGCATTCTACAATGTTGCTCATCCTTAAATTCACAGGGAGTGTGGCCCATGGTAATATTGCAGCTATCAATGCTCCGTCTTGATCTGAGCTGCCTGGCTCCTCTGATCAAGGTGAAGCATTCTGTGCTTAGACCTGTAGCCTCCACAGGTTCATCTTAGTGAAGATGAAGAATGACTGAGTGTGTTCCATTTAATTCAAATTAGGAGCCATTCTTGGGCTTCTCTCTAGCTGCCTCTGCTGGGCAAAGTTTGGCTGCTTCTGCTTTGTATTCAAAAGAAACAGTATTGCCATTCTAGCTGACTCAGCATTGAATGTGATAATTTTGACACCAGAGCTTGATTTGTTGTGTGTGTGTGAGATTTCAAAAAAAGAAAAGGAGTACTTGTGGCACCTTAGAGACTAACCAATTTATTTGAGCATAAGCTTTCGTGAGCTACAGCTCACTTCATCGGATGCTTTTCTTTTTGTGAATACAGACCAACACGGCTGTTACTCTGAAACCTGAGAGATTTCAGGAATTACACTGATCGAGTAATTTATCGCTGACTTTAATACTGTTGGTTTTCTCTATCCTTCTCTGGTTTGTGCATTTTGAAAATTACTGCCAGGAAATTAGTAGTTTTGAACTCTTATCTTAATTGTTAGTTGTAGAGTAGGTTCCTCTACAGGCATTCTGGGAAGGGGAAAAGAGGGAACAAGGATATGAAGAACATAGGTATAATAAAGAACAGACGCTTTAGGAAGAAATATGGGAAAGGGAAGAAATTTCCAACGATATTAAGCTTAAAAAAGTAAATCTTTTTGCTTCACTGACCCACATGCAGTAGGCCTTACAAAACCAATACAGCGATTAGAGAGCAAGATGGACCTCTTCTGCCACATGATCAGCAAAATTCTGGCTAAAATATGATTACAGGATCTTTACTACCGATGATAGCATGAGAGGCAGAATGTGGCTGGATTTTTAGATCTTGATTTGTTTGCAACATAGGCAACAGATTATCTTTTTATTCCAAAACAGAGTAGATTTTCTCTGCAGTGTTCAGTATACTTCTTGGAGTGACTTGACTGATCTTAAACTGTAGTTGCAGTCAGAAAAGAGAAAACCAAAATATGTTAGGTGTATTTGACACAAACTTGGCCTGAAGAGGGCAGTCAAGCATAACTCTTTTACAGTCAAAACTTGTTAAACATGTAACTTCTCTCTCTCTCACACTCGAGTTCTCTTAAATTCTATCATTTTGAGAGGTTTTCATTTCATTTGTATTCTGTTTAATGGAATGCTCTGTTTTGATACATAATATATAATAGCAGCGGTACCTATGAAAGGAATAGATCTGTTGAATTAATGCAATAGATTTACTATGTGCTTCACAACTTTGTTTTATTAACCTCTTTTGTATCAGGCATCCATTTGAAATTGACCTTGTGTGTCTTGGACTTCAAACACAGGAAATATATTATTTCAGTAGGTGTTTGTTTTAAGCATATGCCATACTACTGGGAGAAGTTAGGTAGTTCTGAATCCTCTGAGATCTATTAGTTACAGGGGGAACAGGATCAGACAAGAGTGAAAGAAACTGCTTTGTTGCAACAGAAAGTCATGAGTCCTATGTAACAAATCATGACTCTCCATTTTGGTAAGACTTGCTATCAGTGACACATTTGTTTGTAGTCAGAATATCTTCAGAGAGCCTAAGTGGTAGGCGTTATTACACGAGGCTTTCACTTTTGAAGACCTCAGTTCAGATCTAACAAGACCAGCTGTACAGAGTTGAAGGTCAAGAATGAAATGTATTAGTAGTCTCTGTAAGGCTCTAGGACTAGACTTCCTAGGAGTGCAGCAGGTCAACATTAAAGTATACACTGGTGCTGTCTGGGAAGCTTGCACAGAGAGTCTACTTTATTTCTTTGGCATGTACCAAATCTGGTACGTGGCCCCAAAACAGTGCATTGTAAGGTTCATGAAATATGACAAATATGTTGTGTTGATTCAGTGTTGAACATTAATCTGGGTAAAATAAGACCTTTTGCACAGAGAAGAGTAGTGATGTCTTTTATGGTATTCCTGTAGCTGGAAAATTTTTAGCTAGGTTACCTCACTAGTTTTTTTTTTTTTTTTTTTGTTAGAGCTTTAAAACCAATATCAGAATTTCCAGAAGGCAGCTTAAAAGCTTTTGATTTCATGACCTTGAAGATGGAAACATGGGTTGTCAGTACTAAGTTAATGTGTTTTAATTGGTGCAGAAACTGCTTTGCTGACAGTGTTGTAGAATATGTAGTCTTCTAACCTTAATGCCTGGAAAACAGACTCTCCTGACAATTTTTTATCAGGTAATATAGTGGTGCTATCATAGGGATGAAGAAAGTTTTCCATTAGCTGGGAGACAAGGCAATTCAGAACTTTTTCTTGGGGTAAACCTAAACCTAGTCTATAGAAAGAAACCCTACCTAACAAGTCCCCAGGTAGCCTGCCTCCTTGCTGTTAGTTCTTGAATTAAGTGTTGAATTGGGCACTCATTAGGGATGTAAAAGTTTAACTGGTAAGCATCAGTCTTATCGGTTTCGGTTAACAATTAAACTCTGCAGCTGGCTGGAGCCCAGGACTCCACTGCTGCCCCAGGGCCTGGCAGTCGGGAGGGATTCTGGCAGCAGGGGGCTGTGTAAAACATGGGGGTGCTATAGCACATCCCGCACTCCTAGTTCCCTGGTTAAACGTTTAACCGATAAATTTTTAATCGGTTACACAGTGACTTTTTTTAACTGCTGTTTACATCCCAGCACTGATGTTTAGGAGGGTGGGTTTACAAGACTGGGGAGAGAACTGGTGATGCTCCAGAGTAAGTATGGGACATGAACAAGAAAACTTACAGCAGATGGGAATGCAGACAGTTTTTGTACTTTTTGAAGTGAAAAAAGCGATCAGTGACTGGGAAGAGGTTAGGGTGGGGTGGAAGGGAGGAAAAAGGAACTGAGAACATGTTCACTCATCTTTAGTTCAATGCAAGTTAAAGACTACTTGTCTTCAGTACTCTAGAGGTTAATATCTTGATTCTCTTACTGCACTGCATGATGAAAATCTGAGTGGAGTTATTTAACTGGTATTGGTTCCAGTGGGTTTATTTTGGTAAAAGTTTGTGTGATGCACACCTGCTTTCTCAAGGCTGATGAGGTGCCGTCATGTCATGCACCGGATCCAATTAAAACAATCTGGTTGCAGTTTTCTCATTAAGGGATAAAAATAACCTGGGTGTAAAAATGCGAGAGGAGCAAGACATGAGCCAAATCCAATTTTTCATTCCTTGCCTTGCAATTGAATTAATGTGAATGAGACCAGGAACATGAAATTTGAAGGGTGGGAAATAGTCACAGCAACATTCGACACACAATGACTAAAGGTGAAGCATTGCAATCCAAAATAAATGCTCTGGCTTTGGAACCTGAATTCTCACTCAGCAACTTTTTAATTTTTCATCCTGTGCTCAAATAACCTCTTTCTCTGTAATGTCTAATTAGCCAGTGCTGGTATGTTTGGGTTTGATTACCTATACAGAGCTGCAAGTTCAAAATCTCTTGTATTTCTATAGCGCCTTTCATCTTGAACTCAGAACTCTCAAAGCACTTCACAAACTAAATATATTTTGCTTTCATCACCACTGCAGTGCAGCGATATCTGGAGTAAAGGGTGGTAGCTTTTTAATAGCACAGAACAACTCCACGCTACTGTTTAGGATGGCAGTGAAGCATCCTTTTGAAACTTCAAGGTTATTAAAGCAGTTATTTTATTGGAATCTGACCAAGACACCTTGCTTTGATGAAAAATAATAGTCTTTGAGAGTAATCTGCAAGCTTAGTTTTACATCAAACATGAAAGACAGCATCTCCAAACACCATGCTAAGGAATTGGTTTGGTGCTAATTCCAAGCAAGTGAGTTGTCAGGGTTCCTTCCCCATTCTGTACTCTAGGATACAGATGTGGGGACCTGCATGAAAGACCCCGTAAGCTGCTTATTACCAGCTTAGGTTAAAAACTTCCCCAGGGTACAAACTTTGCCTTGTCCTTGAACAGTATGCTGCCACCACCAAGTGTTTTAAACAAAGAACAGGGAAAGAGACCACTTGGAGATGTCTTTCCCCCAAGCCCTACACACTCCCTTTCCTGAGGAGGCTTGAGAATAATATCCTAACCAATTGGTTACAAAATCATCAAAGACCCAAACCCCTGGATCTTGGAACAATAGAAAAATCAGTCAGGTTCTTAAAAGAAGGGTTTTATTTAAAAAAAAAAAAAAAAAAAAAAAGAGGTAAAAATCATCTCTGTAAAATCAGGATGGAAAATACTTTACAGGGTATTCAGAATCAAAACACAGAGGATCTCCCTCTGGGCAAAACCTTAAAGTTACAGAAAACAGGAATAAACCTCCTTCTTAACACAGGGAAAATTCACATAAAACAAAAGAAACTAATCCGCCTTGCCTGGCTTACCTGTATTGGTTGCAATATTGGAGACTTGGATTAGGATGGGTTGGAGAAGATGGATTTCTGTCTGGCCTCTCTCAGTCCCAAGAGAGAACAAACACGTAAACAAAGAGCACAGAAAAAAGCCTCCTCCTCCCCCAGATTTGAAAGTATCTTGTCCCCTTATTGGTCCTTTGGGTCAGGTGCCAGCAGGTTAGTTGAGCTTCTTAACCCTTTACAGGTAACAGGATGTTGCCTCTGGCCAGGAGGGATTTTATAGCACTGTGCACAGAAAGGTGGTTACCCTTCCCTTTATATTATGACAAGAGCCACCCCATGAATCATCAGTATTGCTTCCTGTTGCACCCTGGCATTTTTTGGATGTCTCCCATTCAAGTACTGACAAGACATATCCCTGCTTAGCTAGTGAACTATGACAATACCCCAGCTTGAGGTAATATGGCTACTATCCGTAATCATCTTAATCGTTTCAGACAATGAATGCTGCTCCTCAGGATTCTTTCAGTACTGCCTACTACAGTGGTATGTCATGTTCTGCTCCTTTTCTCCAGAAAATGGGTGGAACTGGAATTGGAAAAATACATATTTTTCCACAATGTAAATTACTTTATACGGTAATTTGAGCAGACCCAGTATCCCTACGACAATTTCAAGCGTTCTGTAGTGAATGACTGGATGTAATGAACTGTTCAGGAAGGCTGACTGAAAGAAGTTGAATCCAGGATTTCCTGAATTAGGGCAATGCATTCATTGTGTCACTCGGCCACTGGGGGTGAAGTGGGGACTGAAAGGTGGTCTCTCTCTACTAGCATATTTCAAAGAAGCTCAGTCAGGAATAGCAAATGTGTAATACAGTAGAGTTCAAATTTCTGCTGGAAATATGAAAGATTCATTATTTTTTCTCCTACATGTTCTTTTCCAGTCCTTAAAGCTCTTGACTTCTGTCTGGCAAAGGTTGCCCTATACAGGAAAAGCCACAGATGGACTATCTGCATGACAGTCAAGGCATTCCCATTGGGAGGATACATTGTATCTTCATACAGGTAGAGCCCTACATGGATACAAAATTTGTATCTGTATGTGATCCGCAGATATCCACAGGGCTCTAGATATAAAATTTGGATCTGCATCCATCCGCAAACATGGTCTGTGGATATCCATGGCTATAAAGCAGATATCTGCAGACTTTCAGGGCTCTACATGTAGGGAAGTTTCCTAACCTATTTTTAAAAATCTTCAATGATGGGGATTCTACAGAAACTTGTCAGGAATGATCTAGGCATACTTGATCCTCTCTCAACATCTGGACTAGATGACCTCTCGAGATCCTTTCCAGCCATACATTTCTATTGTTCTATGATAACCATCTTTTTTTACTCTTCTATTTCTCAGTAGACAGTACTACAAGCTTCATCTGCTCTGAGGTTTGTTTCAGAGCATATGGTTTATCTTTTGTCATTGTGTTTGCCATTTATATCATTTTCCTTAAGGTAAAATCTAAGTAAACTTACTATTTTATGTGGTGTATTCTGAAATACAATAGTTAACAATTCTATAGAGCCTTCAGTCCTGAAGAATCTTTGTGTTTTAAGAAATACAAAATCACTACACCTATATCTGAAACTCAGGTTGCCTCTAATGGTTCAGAGCAACATCAAACAAAAAGTAAGGCAGGAACTGAGGAGTTTGGTGTTGAGCTAAACTGATAGAAGGAATTTAGGATGTAATTCCTCAAACTGAAATGTAGCTATGACAACAGGATCATTAATGACTACAAGTGATCAGGACCATCTCATCCAAAATACACCACCTCTACCAGCCCTGTGCCCCAAAAACCAGTGGAAACACTGGTTCAGTGAAGATTCAAAGAGAAGAGTACCACCTCTTGAATTATCAAAGCTATTCTGGGGCACCCAAACCAGGCTGGTCCTTTGTGGGAGTTTGGTGTCTTTTAGTTCTGAGCCAGTATAACTGCATATTAAAGAAATGTTCACAGTTCCCTTTTGTTTTGTACTGCAGCTGGGATAAGTTAAAATAAACTTTCATGGGAAAGCCGCTGATTAAAGTGCTACAGACACTGACACCTCAAAGCGGAAAAGCCAGCTGATGTGCTAGGCGTGACGACAAAGTAACATGACCTGGAATTTAAACGTAATATCCGATGTGCTCCATTCACAGTCTTTTCATTTCCTTAAACTGTCAGAGCCCTGTTGGCTGGAGGAGGATTCTCCACATGGACCTATCGACAAGGCTACGATGTCAGTATTCCTGTTTACAGCCCTCTGTCTGCAGAGGTGGAGCTGCCAGAAAGGCGACCAGGGTAAGCTGATCCTGGTGAATTGAACTGTTTGCATTCACTAACTTGTTAAATATGTGTGGTGTTAGCATCTAGATGTAACTTCAGACTTGCTTATGGCACTGGGCAGGTTTGTAAGAAATGGTGATAACGGAAGTGTTGTTATAGGTTTGTGTGTATAAATCGATGGTACACGCACATCTTGAATACTGTGTGCAGATGTGGTCGCACCATCTCAAAAAAGATATATTGGAAAAGGTTCAGAAAAGGGCAACAAAAATTATTAGGGGTATGGAACGGCTGCTGTATGAGGAGAGATTAATCAGGCTGGGACTTTTCAGCTTGGAAAAGAGACGACTAAGGGGGGATATGATAGAGGTCTATGATAAAATCATGACTGGTGTGGAGAAAGTAAATAAGGAAGTGTTATTTACTCCTTCTCTTAACACAAGAACTAGGGGTCACCAAATGAAATTAATAGGCAGCAGGTTTCAAACAAACAAAAAGACGTATTTTTTCACACAATGCACACTCAACCTGTGGAACTCTTTGCCAGAGGATGTTGTGAAGGCCAAGACGATAACAGGGTTCAAAAAAGAACTAGATAAATTCATGGAAGATAGGTCCATCAATGGCTATTGGCCAGGATGAGCAGGGATGGTGTCCCTAGCCTCTGTTTGCCAGAAGCTGGGAATGGGCAACAGGGGCTGGATCACTTGATGATTACCTATTCTGTTCATTCCCTCTGGGGCACCTGGCATTGGCCACTGTTGGAAGACAGGATACTGGGCTAGATGGACCTTTGGTCTGATCTGATTCTTATGTGCTGGGGATTGGTGGGAGGGATTGCTGTTAGAATATAGGCATGTTCCCTCACCAGTGGCTGTCTGAGACCTATGTAGGTGATACTTACATGGAATGAAGCATAATTCCTTTTGGCTGGCCCCACTCCAGAGATTGCAGTGGTGGTCATCTTCAAATGGGCGTGTTTCTAGTGGAGTTGTGCTGGGATTAAAAATATATAATCATTGTTGATAAAATTTTCAGGCGACATAAAGACTGGAGAAATGGTAAATAATGAGGGTAGAGCAGTTATTCAGAGAAATATGGATTGCCTGGTAAGCTGGGCCTATTCAAACAAAATGTTTTCATACAGCCAAATGCAAGATTATACATCTAGGAACAAAGAATGTATGCCATACATACAGAATGGGGGACTATATCTTGGAAAGCGGTGACTCTGAACAGGATTTAGTGGACAAACAATTCAACATAAGCTTCCATTGCAATGCTGTGGCAAAAAAGGAGGGGAAATGCAGCCTTGGGTGTATAAAAGGGGAATAGTGAGTAGGAGTAGGGAGGGATTTTACTTCTGTATATGGCATTGTTGAGACTGATAATTGGAATACTGTGTCCAATTCTGGTGGTCCACATTTTAAAAAGACGTTAAACTTGGTGAGGGTGCATAAAAGACACAAATAATTAGAAGGCTAGAAAAAGTGACGCACTTAAAGAGCTCATTCTGTTTAGTAGATCAGCAAGAGAGTTGATTAGTATTTGGGTACTTTGAGGAGAAAATACTGGATACTAATGGGCTCCTTTAATTTATTGGAGAAAGGCATAACAAGAACCAATGGTTGGAAGTTAAAGCCAGACAATTTCAAATTAAAAATAAAACACACATTTTAAAGTGAGGGTATTAACCCGTTGGAACAGACAACCAAGGAAAGTGGTGGATTCTTCATCTCTTGATGTCTCCAAATTAAGACTGGTTGCCTTTTTGGAATATCTATTTTAGTCAAATACAAATTATTGGGCTCAGTACAGGAGTAACTGGGTGAAATCCTTTGGCCTGTAATGTACAAAAGGTCAGACTAGATGATTTAACTGTCCTTTTTGGCCTTAAAATCTATTAATCTGATTTTTTTTTAATATTGGTGTTCATAATACCTTTTATCTGAGCAGCCGAAAGCACTCAACTATGAAGCCTTACTTACCTGTTTAACAGATGAGTAAACTGAGGCAGTAAACTCAAGTGACTTGTTCACATGTCACAGCAAAACAGATACAGAGCCATGAATATAACCCAGTCCTTTGTGTGATGATCACTCCCTTCACATATGAAATATCTGCTACATCGGGCAATGCTAACAATGATGCATTTTTAACCTGCATATCCTGGGTACTTGAGGCAGCACCCAAGTGGTTAAAGGGATGCTGTCAACTTCAGATCAGAAATTTACCTGGAGTGGCAGTACTCTATGCCTACTCTTCTGCTGACAATGTCAGTGTTTTTACTGTTGTCTTTTGAGGGCTGTAAACCTGAATTATTTTGAATTTCAGGTCACAAACACTAAGGTAAACGACCACTGCTCAGGGTTGTCCTGCAATCTTCATGTACGTGTTTTTCTCTTAACGTGTCTGCTTCAAATATTCTTGTATATGAACAATGCAGTGACACTTAAGTGAATCCAAGTTGGCATTTGATAAATTGTTACCTTAAGCACAGAGGGAAAGAACATCATGTTCCCATATTGGAAACAAAATGCATCTGGTAGACCTCATCATCTATGGTTTCTCTCTTTAGTACAGACTTCTTCATAGTTCATGTCCACATGATCAGCCAGGTGGCGTGGCTGGTTGCAGTGCACCAGAGAACAGATGTGTATCTGGGAGCAAGTGCCTCAGTCACCGATTTAGTGAATATTTTGGAATCACCATGTATCATTGCACACTGATACTTATTGGCAGAGGTTGTTGGCTACAGCTTGGGTAGAGTGCCATCTGGTGGTCAATCATCATTAATGTAAGTTTAAAAACAATTGGTCACATGAATTTTATTTTTCTTTTGTGGTGGCAGTGGGGGAAAAATGACAAAAGAAAGCCAGTCAAAATTCAATCATAGGTTGGTAGATACAATTATATACCATTATTCTAAACTATCAGGCTTGGTATACATTAGGATTTTACATCCATTTATAGTAAGACTTGGATCACAGGGTTTTAGTGTCATGGGATGTTAAGTGTTATGCCAGAATTTTGGTATTAAAGCATAAAAATGATCGACCTTATGCAACTTCAGGCTGGCCATTGCCATTATTAGCACTTACCAACAGCTGTGCTGGCTTGTAAGGTAAATTTTATTTTTGTTTCATTTAAAGAGCTGAATTGAGAGTTTGATTTAGTTTCTTTATAGTTTAGTTCCTAAAACAGAGTTTTACATTCAGTGATGCCAGGAGTAAATATTCCAGCAAGCCTCTGCAAGTTACAAAAATAGCATTACAAAGAAAAAAGTTCATGTAACTCAACTGTCTAATTGGAGCAGCCAAAACTGCTGGTGTGGAGATGGTAAGGTGGGTAGGTAGGGCAGAGTTCAGCTTTATAAAGTGTGCTTCAGAGCTGTATAGTGTTTTTTTTTTTTTTAAGCCAGCCATCAAGTGGAGGGAAATTGGAATCCTAAATAGAGGCCTCATATTTCCTGAGTTTTCTGGGCAGCGTGGGGGAAGGCACATACTGTGTATTTCCTTGCATCAGACATAGTGGAGTAGTCCGTGTTAACTGATTTTTTTAAATGAAGGATCAGAATAAATTTTAGCACTGTGTTTTTGGTGCAGTGTGCTGTACTCCTGCATGAATGAGCTGCACAGCTTAAAGCCATGAACAGCTAAATTGGGACTATATCCCTGCATTTTTGACCTCAGCTGTTAAAGAACATTTTTGAATATGTTGGTATTAAAATAAGTTATTTAGCATGTTAGCAATTTACATTATAAATATAAATTTGTTAGTCTCAGCAGAGGTCAATGGCTGAATGGGCCCATGATGCTAAACTCTGACTTCTATCCTATAAGTGGTCCTACCAGGATAACACAAAGGCACAAGACTGAGTCAGTGAGGAGAACTTGTCTAACTACTGCCCTTACTATATCTATTTCTGTGGATCAACATAGGGTGCCAGGGCTGTCAGCACTTTTCACCCATACAAAATTAACTAAAATGCTTACAAGCAGAAGAACCTAGCATCAGTCATCCTAAGTGTTCTAGGTTCTTTATAATAAAACAGTAACATTATGTAAAAATATAACCAAGTGAACACATAGTGCAATAGTCTTACATCAGAGGCTTTCTCAGTATGTTGCAAAGTTATTTTTGTTTCAGTTTATGAAACAGATGAAGAGTACACTTTTCAAGACATAAAATTTACAATAATCTGTACATCACTCTGAGCTGCTTATCTCTTACTTCCTGTTGTCCATGCAATTATAATTAAATCTGGCCAAATCTTAATTATGCTGTATCAGTTAATAACTCCTTCCAACTCTCATCCTGTTCTCTTCCCAAACGTTGGAGGGGAAAAAGCTAAAGTTTTGTGGTGTGTCAAACCGGTAAGTAAATCTGGACTTCGTTGTGCCAAGATAGAAGGAAATGCGTTCCAGAATTTTTAGAGAAAACTCCTGGAAATGTCAGGTCACCTTGGTTCCACTTTTCAGTCCTCGTAGGTACTTCATCCTGTCATCCCAAATGGCTCTTCACCCAGAATACCGTTCTGACTTGGAGGCTCTTCAGGCTGAGAACGGAGAGTCTGTGCTGATCCTGGACAAGTGCACAAATCTGTCAGAGGGAGTTCCTTCTGTTCGTAAACGTTGTCACAAGAACCAGGTCTTTGATTACCCTCAGGTGCTTCAGGTAAGGCTGCTTAACCTGCATAGCCCCACAGACCCAATGATGCTTAACTTAGCAGAGAGTTTTTGTTTCGTTTATATAGCACGCTTCCTTAATTTTCAGTGAAATTGCTGGAAGAATTTGAAAATGAAAAGTCCATTTAATTAAACTGAGTGTTGTATACTTAAAGTAAATTATATTCTAATTTACAGTTAAATATTCATTGAACTTGAAGGACCAAAAGTGTGTTATGAACTTGAAGGGATTAAAGGGGTTGGCAGTTTAGTGTTTGAAAAACAATACCACACAGTGCCCTGTGTACCCATGACAAAGTGAGAAGATTTGACAGCATGCAGCTATGGAAACATCTAGGAGAAATGTGTTTGATGGCCTTGGCCCAACTTCCAGAGGGCTTTTGGTGTGTCAATGAAGATAAAACCAGATAAGCTTTCTCAGACTCTTGTTTTCTGGCAAGCCCCGAAAACAGAGTAGAAGTACTTTAGCATGCAGTGTGGTAAAGCCAACTATACCTTTGGCCAGTTGGGGAATATTCCAATGTACTCCATCTCTGGCCCCCAGCATGTAATCCATCTTTGAACTTCAACAAATTACGATAAAACAACAAATGCACAGTAGAAAAACAAATTTTCCTCCAGTTTTATGTTTTGTTGGAAAGATGTTTAAACTTCCAAGTGGAGGAGGGTGAGAGGAAGGGAAGAGTTCTGATTTGTAAACCTTTATCCAGAAGAAAAAATGATTTCTCTTTACTTTGCTTCTTTAATGTAGACTGTATCATTCAAGGATAGCAGGTGAGGGATATAATATTTTTAACTTGAGAGCTGACACATGCAGAGATTGTTAAAATACTTTCCCTTGCAGAGCCCTGCATCTCCCTTTGGAATGTCTGGCTGATAACAGCAATGATACGAGGAGATATATTTATAGTAACTTTTGTCTAGACAGAAAAAATGGTTATCTGGGCAGATGGGCATGTGTGTCCACATCTGGGGCTCTTTTCTTATTTACCCAGACCTGCCCAGAGTCTTCCACCTGCTGCCTTGTGATCTATCGAGTAGGTGTTTTAAAATGTGTTTTGCTCCTTTTTCCTCCACCCTCCCCAAAGCAGTCTGAGATTTGATCCCAGCACATCCTTTCCTGCACTCCCTTTACTGTCATCTTATTAAACAGACTCCTGGGTTGCTAATGCATCCTGTTTTGCAATCTTCTCTTGGCTGAGATTTTAGGACAGCTCAGCAGTGTCCTGATATGAACGTAGGTTTCACAGCTTTGTTGGGAAGCAAGTGAGGGGACAGCAAAGACTTTTAATTCCAAGTTCTCATATTTAACTGCCCCGCTACAGAAAGCAAATTGGATGCCATGAATAGTCTCATATGAATATTGTACCATTGTACAAGGCACTGGTGAGACCTCATCTGAAATTCTGTGCATTTCTGGTCACCTGTGTTCAAGAAAGAAGACTTCAAACTGGAACAGGTGCAGAGAAGGGCGACTAGGATGACAGAGGAATGGAGAACCTACCTTACAAGAGGAGTCTTAAGGAGCTTGGTTTGTTCAGCCTAACAAAGTGAAGGCTGAAGGGAGATCTGGAGGGAGAGGAGTTACTCAGGTTAAGGGTCAATGTTGACACAAGAACAAGTGGATATAAGCTGGCCACCAACAAGTTCAGGCTCGAAATTAGACACCGGTTTCTAACCATCAGAAGAGTGAAGTTCTGGACCAGCCTTCCAAGGCAAGTTGTGGGAGCAAAAAACCTAGCTTGTTTCAAGACTGAGCTTGATAAATTTATGGAGGGAATGGTATGGTGAAGTTGCCTACAGTGGCTCATGGCCCATCCACAACTATTAGCAAATATCTCCAATAGGAGAGATGTGACACTAGATGGAGAAGGCTTTGAATTAATATAGAGAATTCTTTCCTGTGTGTCTGGTGGGTGGTCTTGCCCACATGCTCATGGTCTAACTGACTGGAATATTTGGTATTGGAAAAGAATTTTCCTCCGGGTCAGATTGGCAGAGACCCTGGGTTTTTTGCCTTCCTCTGCAATGTGGGGCACAGGTCACTTGCTGCTTTGAATTAGAGTAAGTGGTGGATTCTCTGTAACTTGAAGCCTTTAATCAAGATTTGAGGACTTCAGTAGCTCAGCCCAAAGTTATGGGCCTATTACAGGAGCGGATGAGTGCGGTTCTGTGTCCTGTGATGTGCAAGAGGTCCGACTAGACGATCATGATGGTTTCTTCTGGCCTTAAAGTCCATATGCCTCTTCACATACCGTGTTCTTTCTGTTGTCTTGGGCTCTTGGTTAATAGATTCACTAGATCCTTTCTTAATAAATAAATAAATAAATAAATAAATCTATAAACAATTTTTGAGTGACTTTTTTGGAACTAGAGAAAGCTTCCAGACTGACAGCCCCGGGGAACAAAGTCCTGTTAGTGCAGTATTAATACAATAGCAGCAGCAGCTCAAGCTTCACCAGTGCTGCCTAGCCAATGTACCTCACCCCTGCCCTGCAAAGGCCACTTATAAGGTGAAAGAATATTTCAGCCTTCATGTCCCACTTGGTTCTCGGTTTCTCTGCTTTTGTTGCCCACCAACTTGTCAATTAATGCCAATGGGAATGGTGGTTTCTGTGGATACTGTCTTCTGGAAGCTGGATTGTAAACAGAAAACTTACTAATATCCTGAGCTAGTTTTGAACCAGTGACCTAGAGGTGAAAAATCTTTGTCTCACTCCAGTCCCTAACCAGTTCCTCAGCAAAAATAACTGATGTTTGTTTAACGAACAGCGTTATATAGTACTATTTTTTTCTAATGCATATATCAACACAGGGCAAATTGTTTCTCAGAGTGTCTCCACTGACATTCCAGAGCATTTATATATTGTATCAGCTGAATAACCATGATTAAGGCTTCAATTTTGTCATGGTATTTTTAGTAAAAGTCATGGACAGGTCACGGACAATAAACAAAAATTTACCGAAGCCGTGACCTGTCCCTGACTTTTAGTAAAAACATCCCTGACAAAATGGGGAGGGAGGAGGGTCCAGCACCCTGCCCCGCTGCATGAAGTGGCTGGGAGTTGTGGCTCCCCACCCTGACCCAGTTGCTGGGAGCTGTGTGGGGATCCCCCACTCCCCTGAAGGGCTGAGAGCTGTGGGGGGGCCCCCGCTGCCTGTGGCAGCTGGGCTGCTGCGGGAGGGTCTCCTGCTGCCAGCTGTTGCTGGGCTGCTGGGGTGCCCCAATATCATGGAGGTTTCTGGAAGTCATGGATTCCGTGATGTCTGCGACCTCCATGACATAATCGGAGCCGTAATCATGATCATAGTCAGCCATTAAGATGTTAGATTTGTAAAGGGTTTGGCATTCTTTTGTCTTTCCTGATGGATTAAACTTCTGACATGAGGTCACTAAAACACAAGATGGAAAAGTCCTATTAGTTCATCCAGTCCTCATTTTTCACCTTACACCCAGTGGAGAATAAAGTTGCACATTTATTTTGAATCCGATGATAACTCAGAACATGATGATGGCAGAGAGCAAACTTGAGTGGTGATTTCATTAAACCTGTATGTTCAGAGGGGAACGAATGTATAAATTAAAGGGATGTAATATTTGTTCCCTTTTTCATCTTCGTTTTCTGGTTGCTATTCACTGACAGGAAGCCACATTCTGCATTGTTCTGCGTGGTGCTCGCTTGGGACAAGCTGTGCTAAGTGATGTACTTCAGGCTGGCTGTGTCCCTGTTGTTATTGCTGACTCCTATATTTTGCCTTTCTCTGAAGTTCTGGACTGGAAGAGGTTCGTACTTATTGGTTTGCACCCTCCGTAAATTCAAACCACTTGAAACCTCACAACCTAGAAGTGAAGGAACAGAATATGCAGGGGGCTGCATTGAGAATGCTGAAAACAGGGCAGTTGAAGTCCACCCTATGGATGTATTCAAGCATAGGAAGTAATGGAGCAGGAAAATGAGGGGACAAAAGGAGGGTGGTGAGCAGCACAGACTATCCAGTTCTTGGCATTGGATTTCCTGTTTCTTGCAGCTCACGATATTCATCTATAGAACAAAAATTATTGGCCTTTTCACACTTGTATTTGCACGCAAGCTGTTTAAATTCACTTCTAGCAGTTTACACCTCCCAAACCCCTGTGAGGCAAAGAAGTATCCCCATTTTACAGGTGTGAGTAACTGAGTCACAGCAGAGATTTTGTATACATACAAATGTACGCACTTAACACTCTTTTCCCCTAAATGATTTATTCAGAATTACACCAAGTCGTTGATAGAGCTGGAATTAGAACACAGGAATTCTTGGCTCCCAGTCCATACTTAATTCATTAGACCACACTCCTCTATGTAGCCACTTGCAGCTGCTCTTCTGCAAATGCACCCCACAGAGTTTTTGGGTATTTCCTTTAGGCTGAGCAGCTGGAGTCACGAAGAAATTTCCCAGTGGTCTAGTATTGAATAATTAATTGCATTACAGGGGCTTATGCTTTCCTCTGAAACCTCTAGAGCTTAGCACGTTATGATACCAGTTTACATGGACTATTGGTATGTTCTCATACGGCATTTTTATACTTTTTTCCCTTCACTTTTTTGCATTTAGAGCCTCTGTTGTGATACCTGAAGAAAAGATGCCTGAAATGTACAGCATTCTGCAAAGCATTCCCCAGCGGCAGATTGAGGAGATGCAAAGACAGGTAAAATAGCCTGAATATAGCATTTAAATCTATACATGAGTTCATATGTGTCTACTGCTTGTGTATGTGTGTGAAGTGTGGTTGGGAGTAGAAGCATTCTGCATACTCTCATATTATTAAAGTTCAGTTCATTCAGCTTGCTGATTTTTTGCACTAAAAATACAATAACTAACATTTATATAATGCTCAGAATACTTAAATACTGAATATGCAAAGATAATTTTATCCATCTCTGGCACAACTAAATCTGCTGGAGAGCAGCTGTTTAACAGTACTACAGTGTAGTTTAGGTCAGGAATTTAAGAACACTGCATATGATTGCAATTGTAGAAGAACGCTTGAGTAGGCAGAATTCAGTTACCCACACTGGAATTTCTCCGGCATGCTATGTTAACATCTATACTCTTGTGAAAGATGGTATGGGATCTTCAGTGCCCACAATGGTCAGGGTCTCCCGAACATGGACTGCGTAAATACTGTGAAAAGTAAAACTGAGGTCCAGACCACCTGTTCATTAAAGATCCCATGGTACTTTCCACAAGAGCAGGGGTGCTTACCCCAGTAGCTGGCCAAATTCCACTGTAAGTAATTTCACTTTACTCTGTGTTCTCCCTGCTTTCTCAGTACAGAGTGATGATCAAATTCCTGCAGAGTTCAGTTTTATTCCTCTTCTCTTGCAAGTTAAGAAAAAAAGAAAAGGAGTACTTGTGGCACCTTAGAGACGAATAAATTTATTTGAGCATAAGTTTTCGTGAGCTACAGCTCACTTCATCGGATGCATTCAGTGGAAAATACAGTGGGGAGATTTATGTACACAGAGAACATGAAACAGTGGGTGTTACCAAATGCACTGTAAGGAGAGTGATCACTTAAGATGAGCTAATACCATTACAGTGTGTATGGTAACACCCATTGTTTCATGTTTTCTGTGTATATAAATCTCCCCACTGTATTTTCCACTGAATGCATCCGATGAAGTGAGCTGTAGCTCTCGAAAGCTTATGCTCAAATAAAGTTGTTAGTCTCTAAGGTGCCACAAGTACTCCTTTTCTTTTTGCGAATACAGACTAACACGGCTGCTACTCTGAAACAAGTTAAGACAAGTTTCTGATAAAACCACAGTGCAAATTTGTAGCTTCCTGCTCAACCATCGCTAAATTCATTGAAGTGAGAGAGTCATGAATTCTGCTGACCCTACATATGTCCAGATCTATAAATATACTTCGAAATCTTTGGATGAAAGGTGGTAGTTAAATGCAAAATGCTTTATGTACGTTAATTACACAAGCTCATCTCTGTAAGATAGATGTTATACCTGTTTTACCAGGGGAAAACAGAGGCATAGAGAGGTTGTGATTCATATAAGGTCATGGAATGAATTGAGCGGAGCCAGGAATATAATCAACTCAGTTTTCAGTTCAGTCCAGTAGATGATATTGCCTGTTTGGCACAGATTGTTAGTGTCCATAATACCAGATACTTACTCTGACCTGAGCATTCTCATGCAGGTGTGTGTGTCAGTGACTCAGCTGAGCAGATCAATAAAATTGTTGGCTGTAGGCAGATTGTGGTAAAGTGGCTGAGCATCTTGGAGAGGACTTTGGCTATAAAATTAACATGTACAGTAGGGTTCAAACATAACATTGTTTGCATGGTGTTTTGAATATGTAAAGTAGAATTACATTTTGGAGGCATTGGGAAAGAAGGATATTTGCATTTCACAAATACGTTTATGTAAGGTGTTTCTGTCACCCTTGTCATTGAGTGCCTCACAGTTATTGATGTATTTAGTCTTACACCACCACTGTGGGTAGAGAAGTACTGTTATCCCTCTTTCACAGATGGAGAACTAAGGGACTTGTTTAAAGTCATATAGGATTTCTGTGGCAGAGCAGGAATTGAACCCAGGCCTCTGGAGTCCCAAGTTATAAGCTTAGCCACAAGGCCATCCTTCCTCCCTCATGATACTTGTAAATATCAAGGAGAGGAGAAAATGTTTGTGGTCCAAGAGGTATAAGTAGGAGTAAGGAGATGAAATTCAGAAATAGGAAATTTAAGATAAATATCAGAAAATATTCCTTATGGTGAGATTTTTAATATGTGGAATAGTCTCTCCAAGTAATAGAAGTCCCATTGTTCAAGTCACTTGTAACTACACAGTGCTGGAAGCTATACTATATGTAGGGCCTTACTAAATTCACGGCTGTGAAAAACTTGTCATGGACCGTAAAATAAGCACTCCCCTATGAAATCTAGCTATTGGAGGGGAGTGGGAGGGGTAGGGCTGGGGGCAGCCAAGCCAGGGGCTCCTACTGTTCCCCAGGCTCCAGCTGCTAGTCCCCAGGCTGGGGAGGAATGGGACTTACTCTTACCCTGCACAGTTGCTCTCGGGGGGGAGGGGAGTGAGACCCACCTCTGGGTACCTCCCCCTGCTGCAGGAAGCTCCACAGCTGGGCTCACAGAAGTGAGGGTGGCAATCCCATGACCCCCTCTACAACAGCTATGCGCCCCCACCTCCACCCCCCACAACCCTCTTTTAGGTCAGGACCCCCATGATTACAACACTGAAATTTCAGATGTAAGCATCTGAAAATGTGAAATTGACTAATTTTCAAATCCTATGGCCATGAAATTGACCAGAATGGACCATGAATTTGATAGGGCCCTAACTATATGGATCCATTCTGCATGTCCTGGCGGAAAGAATAGACTAGACAACTTAATCTTCCATTTCCTTCATGTCTAATTTCTATGACTAGTTTAACTTTCCTTGTATGCAGAACAGAAGCCTTTGCAAGTATCACAGCAGCCAACAGAGGTTTCCATTCCCTTTTTTTCACCCCACTCCAGTTAATTACTATGGCTGTGTTATCTTGAGGTCAACTGCCAGAGATTTGTACATATTCACAACTCTAATAGGTGCTAAAAACAGCACCTATTAGAGTTGTTAATATGTACACATGCCTCTATATACGTATGAAATCTTTGCCAGCTACTTTGAATTAAAATATATTTTAAAAAAAAGTTCCTTAGAATGTCTGAGCTGCCAATGTAAAATACTCCATATTCACCACAACCCTTATGCATTTTAGTACCCAGCACTTGTGTGCTATCTCCAATTTTATCCTTCCCTACCAAGTCAAGTTAGTGTTTGGTTGGAAAGGATCAGTGACGTTTGATATGGAGTTTTCTGGCATATGAATGGTCTGCACTAGCCATTGTTGTAAGTTCCAGAGCAGTGGTCCCCAACCTTTCTTGTGGGAATAGCAATATACTGTTCCCACAAGATGATGATGATAATAATAATAATAGCACAGAAGACTGTGGCAGGGCACCTGACACCCCGCCGCTGAAAGGCTGCCGATGAGAAGAAAGGCTGCCGATGAGAAGCGGCAGCGGCCAGAAGCGTTGCTGCTGAAATGCCGCCGAGAAACGGCAACGCTTCTCGGTGGCATTTCGGCGGTGGGGTGTCCTGTGGGCGCACAAAAATGCCCCGGCGGGCGCCATTGCATCCACGGTCACCGCGTTGGGGACCCCTGTTCCAGAGTATCACTGACCATTTTAGAGCTTCTCTTATTCCTCATTCACGCCAAACTACTCATATACTTTGATACTTCTTCACAGTTGCTGAGCTGTACTGTGGACAGCATCCATTGTTCTACTTTCACTTTCCCTGTGCCATAAGTCAACAGCAACATTGTGGCAGAATAGTGAGGAGGGAAGAGGGGGAAGGACAGGGAGTGTGTGTGATAGGAGTATGGCAGAGAGGAGGAGTGGAGGGTGAGAGATGAAGGTGAGGAAGAGGGAGAAAGATTGAAGTAAGGGGAAGAAGAAGAGCAGAGTGAGGAAAAAGGAAAGGAAAACACACCACCTCCATGGCTACCGCTAAAACCATCCCTTATGAAACCTCCTTCCTCAGGACAAATCTGTTTTTCACTTTGTAATTTGTAGGGTAAACAAACTTCCAGAGTCCTTCTGATTTTTTTTTTCTTTTTTTTGGTCTGCAGATTCGTTTAGCAGAGTATTGTATGTCTTGAAAATTTATGTGCTACTGATATCATAAATCCCAACTCATTGCCCCAAATCCAGCAAACACAGATAAACTCATTACTACCTAGGACTGGAATTTAAGGATAACGTTCAAGGTGGGGGGAGAGGGGAGTGCCAGAGGATGTGGGAAGTTTTTTTTTCATTCCCCTGCTTTGTTTTTTACATTAGAAATTAAGGTATTATCTACTCTGATGATGATCACTTGTGATGGGAAGAGTGAAGAAGCTAAAAGCTGACACAACTGAGGAAAGGGATTTATTTTAGTCATACTATTAAAACTTTTAAAATGTGTTTTAACACTTAGGAAGAGAATGTCTTTGTTAAAGGTACAACCCCCTGACCCGTTCAGCTAATATATGAGCTTATGCTGCACCCCCTTCAAAATTCTGTAAGAGATTCACTTAGAGAGCTAAAGAAGACCAGACTTGAGATTTGTGTTGCCCTGAGGCAAAAACAGTCAGAAAAAGTTAAATAAACATAACCCCACACCTTTTCAGGCCTCCTTTATGCTCTGTTTAAAAAAAAAAGACGAAAAAAAGACAAGCCCAATTTTGAAAAGAAATTGTGAGTCATTTTAGAGTGAGTTTTCAATGTTGGCTTGGGAAGTGCTATTCCCAGAACAAATAATGTATGAGCAATACCACTGTAGTTTTTCTAGCTCATATCCCCCCCATGCCTCAAGCTCTCCAGGTCAAACGAAACTGAAGACACTAGCATATGCATAAATCAGTGACTTATTTTACTGTCACATTAAAACATGAGTGGCTAGTGTGTCTGACCCCTTCCCCTTCCTATTTAATGTGCTTCTTTGGCTCTTCTCTTTAAAGAGGACTTTGTGGAGTAATTTCAGCCCTTATCAGTTTGCTGACAGCTATGAGCCTTCTGCTGGCTCCAGGCAGTGAGTGCAGGCGTGTGAAACTTCTCATTCTTACACTGAAATGGTCCTGGAC